AGAGCTAAAAGACTGGATTGTGGCAGATTTGAATGATTCCAAGAAAGCATTGTGCAAGTATTGCAAATGCAGTTTGAGTTGCAAGTTACACGACATGCTTGCACATGCAAAAACTTAACGTTGGGTTGTATATTTTTTTCCTGGCCTACCTATCGGGTTGGCAGATATGAACAGGTAAGTAATAATGGTAATGTTCACTCATCTGTTTAACACATTTTATAGGCGCTTTCAATTGGTTTATAACACCGTGCGACAGTAAATTTTACACACAACAAGAAAAAAATATATTCGCGAAATTATGGGTAAATTATAGTAAAACTGCGATCTTAGTTTTCCACTCTGACGTCAGGATTTTTTTATGGGATTTTGAAATTCAAAAAATACGATTATTTCGAAAAATCATTTAAAAGATTAATTTCAATTTAGGATAACAATAACGGTATCGTATAAAAGAAAAAATTCTGTAGAATTATAACAGAATAAATTGTATGGTGCATAAGTACAGTGTATGCCAAGCGATTTGCAGCTAGCTTGCTTTGACTTATGCAGCCCTCCGTTTAAATGCACGTGTGCGACATCAAAACATACAACTTTCGTATGTAGCATCTAATACTCGTCTTAAGCCATACGACCCGTGGTGCGGACAGCCTAAGGCATTTGAACGCGATTTGTTGAGAGACGAACATCTGAGCTTAGGTTTATTCGTAAATCGTGCAGATTTAAAACATATTAAAAAGAACTGAAAAAAGTGCAATGGACGGCCTGTAGTCTTAGTGCAGTGTTTTTGCACGCGTTGTTTTGCGCTTGGTTCCGACAAAATATCCATTTATTGAACAATTTTTAATTTTCCTTGCAAGAAAAGTTCGTGCCTTAAGTCTTTCGTTTACTCAATGTTCATAATTATCTTTCAGTTCTGTTTGATAAATTTTAATAAATATTCAAACAATTTCAATCTAATGCAACGCTACTCGAGATAAAGGTCCTGAGACTCGCTTTCGTTCTTGTGCAAACACTTCCCAAGATTTTGTTCCCATTCGGTACCCTTCTTGGGAACAAGACTACGAGAACGACATTTAGTTTCCAACATACTTTTGTTCTCGGTCTCTGATTTCCACAAAGCACATCCAGAACAATGCAGGAGAACTCGATGAAATACACAAAGTGGGAAATGATTGTCGTTAGAATAGGCATTTTTCATGACTCTTTCCAGGGTTATAAAACGAATCAAAAACAGTATTTTCAAACATGTTAGTGAATAATTCTTCGCATCCAAATTATAGTCAATTTTCCTTATTTACTGCCTGAAAAATTTGTGGTTTTGCCGCTCCCAGACCACTGTGCGGCGCTTCTTAATTGATTTTGTTTTAGGTACTTTAAACCACCTGTCCGCAAAAATAATAATTTGCTTTATTTTTTGGTTATTTTATTTTTATTTTATATCTACTCGGAGTTCTCCAAAACATTTCTGAATTACAATAATACTTAATAAGCTTATCAAGGTACTAAATAATGCTTGAAAAACGAAATTTATAGGAAAATTTTATTAAAGAATTAAAGATTTGCTTTTCATTAGTTGGAAAAAATTTTCAGGTTCAAGAAAGCTTTTATACGATGTTTGGAAATGTTAGCTTTCCCTGCAAAAATGAAGTGTTAAAATTGTAGAATGACTAAAGAACCAAAAGAGCAATCTTAGCCAACAATAAGGTACAAAATACTACTTAAACTAATAAAAAAAAGCAGAAATTCTTAGTTTTTCCTCCCAGATTTCTAACAAAAAGCGTAATTTTATTTTTGTATTCATTTGCAAGTTTTAGAAATATTCTTGTGTATATTAAATTTATGTAGTTATGTAGATAAGATTGTTTAATTTTTTTGTTTTAATTTATAATCAATTGGAAATAGCATTAACTAAATTTTTTTTGTATTTATATAAGTTTTAGTGTAAATTATTAGCATTCAAGTTTAAATGTTACTTTTAAAGCAGATTTCTTCCTATACCATTCAACTCACTTTTATAAGTATTTACTATACTCGTATGTGTACGTTTGTATATATGCATGTAAATGTATCATTTTGCAATAATGAAGTCAATAAGATTTTTCTTCTCTTTTTTCTTGCCTTGGAAAATTTAGGGATAGTGGTTGTTTACAAGTGTTTTGGACTTTATTTGCCAATTTTATTTTTTTTTTTTTGTAGTTTTTCTGTTTTGATTCTTTTTTCTTCAAAGTAATGCAAGTTTATGACGTATGTACCATGGATGTGTGTATGTATAATTTTTTTTTACTATGAGCTTTTTATTTTGTTTTTAATAATTTGTTTTTCATACACTCACAGAATATATAATATGTAGATATTTTTTCAATTTCCAATTTCCTCTTTTTTATTTTATGTTTTTTATGCGTTTTCCGCGCCTTTGTCTCATTTCTTGAATACATTTTTGTTGTTTTTATGCATATTTGACTTTTCATTTTTTTTTATTCATTTAGTTTTATTTATAAACTGGTCAGCAACAGTAGCAAATTTAACAATGTGCGTAACAAATAATTTTTTTCTTGTAAATATATTCATGTATTTATATATAATATATACTTCATTTTAATTTGTAATATTAATAATTTTTATTTATCATAATATTTATATTTATGTATTACTTTACTAATTTGTTTTCTCTGTTATTTAGCTTTGTATGGAATTATGTATGTATGTATGTATGTATGTGTCCATATCTATATGCGTACGTATGTATATTATATATGTATAATGTACGTACATATGTATGTATGTATAAGTGTATAGTATGTCAGTAAGTAAATGTACATATGTACGCACGAAGAATTGAAATAAATTAGTTGAATGTGTTCTAGGTAATTTTAAATATTACGATTTGTGTTTAATTTTCCTTAATTTCTTTATTTTTAATCGAATATTATTGCATTTTTGTTGTCACAGACGTGACGGTCATTCGGTATGTATATACGTATTAACGTGTATGTATGTATGCATATGTGTATGTGCTTTAATTTGTTAGTTGTCATGTACGTTGTAAGTCCGTGTACCGCTGTGTATAACTGTGTACTTACATTTTAGTTTTTACAACAATTTTATAGGTTTTGTTTCTCTTAGTGTTCGGGTTGATTTTTTTTTTTTTTTAATTTTTAAATTTACTTAGTTATGGGACTCGCTTTCTGATACAAGCGTCCATTCTCCCCCCAAACACTTATAGATACTTCGCCGCCTCTATTTAACATGCACCACCGTGTCAATATACACTTACGCCCTCCCTCGTTAGCCCACCGTTCATCTAAGCGATGTATATGTATATTCGCCGCTTTAGCGCTACTCAACAAAAAAAAAAAATTAAATATTTATATTAATTTTTTGTTCGCCGTTATTCACCATCTTGCGATTCTCCATTGGTTATTATGTAATAAAAAATATTAGTACCGTTAGTTTAGCATACTCAATATTGCCATCGTATGCTTGATTTGATTTATAATAATCATATTTATAATCATATTTATAATATGTACTATTATTGTAATATTTTAGCGTTAATAATAGTGATTTTTGTTGTTGTCGTTTTGGTTTTTTGTCTTTTAGTTAATATTAGTAATAATAATAAATACAAATTTAAATACAATACAAATAGAAAGTTCCTACAAAATGACCAGGGTTATTTGCCGAAGCCGAATCCGAATTTGCCGAAGAGATCTTTGCCTTTTGACAGTACATCGCCGCCTGGCGCCGCCGCTGCAATGCCCTTCAGTCCGCCCAACAGCCCCGCCCCGGGTCCCTGACCCTGCGGCGGTGGCTGTTGCCCTTGCGGCGGTTGACCCGGCTGCGGTTGGCCCGGTTGCTGTTGGCCTGGCTGCATTGGCTGCGCACCGACTGGTGGTTGCATTGGATCTTGTTTCGGTGGTTGTTTCGAACCAAATAGACCACCGGTGGCAGCCGAAGTAGCACCTGAGAGTAGGCTAGTCGCCCCGGAGAATAAACCGCCAGAGGACTGCGTCGTTACGGGCGGCTGTTGCGGTTGCTGCTGCTGCCCCATCATACCGCTCATCGGACCGCCCATACCCATTTGCTGTTGGCCCATCATGCCGGGCTGCTGCGGTTGTTGCTGGCCCATAGCACCCATTTGGCCCATTTGACCCATCTGCCCCATTTGTCCGCTCATACCCATTTGCTGTTGTTGTTGTTGTTGCTGTTGTTGTTGTTGTTGTTGTTGCTGCTGTTGTTGCTGTTGCTGTTGCTGTTGTTGTGGCGTCATCTGTCCCATCTGACCCATGGTACCCATTTGGCCCATTTGTCCTCCCATCGGCTGTTGTTGGCCCATCATGCCCTGCTGTTGTTGCCCCATCTGGCCCATACCCATTTGTTGTTGCTGCTGTTGTTGTTGCTGTTGCGTCTGTTGCTGACCATATGGTTGTTGTTGAAGTTGCTGCTGCATACCGACATTACCACCGCGACCGATCATCCCCTGGAAATGTGCACACAATTCAACAGATTAATGAATAATAATGGATTTTAGCACCGTATTTAACTACGAGAGGAGTTTAGTAATCTCATATCTCAAAGGTGAGATGAGAAGGGATTAGTGGACAAAGAGACAGAATTTAAGGTAGGTTTGAGAAGTGGAGAGCGATAGATATAGTTGAACAGTAGAAGGTGGAACTGGATAAAATATTCGTTGATTAACTTGGAACGCGGAATTTAAAATGGAATACAAACTAACCAAAAGTTTTTTGAAACATGTATTGGATAATTACAGGAACTTTGCAACAAAACTCAAAGATGGGTTCCACTTAATTTCTCTTAATTCAATAACACAATGCGGACTGAATAATTGAACGGATAGTATTTAGTTTTACAGTGAATCTTTTATTTTGAGTTTTAAGAATATCAGATGCGGTTAACAAGATTTCTGTGACAAGTGTTTTCGTGTTACGCTAAGAAATTGAAAGGTTTATATACAATTGATCAAATTACAGAAATTCCTTTCCTCGCACTTTTAGACATTTACTGCTGCGTATCTGCTAACTAAACTTACATTCTTATTATGCATCTCGAACGATAGGTCGCACAAAAAATGCGTCTGCAGAGGAATGCTTCAAAAATTAGCCCGGCGGCTTTCTATTCAAAACGAAATTCCAGAATTTGGACGCGCATAGAGTAAAAGCTCTTTATGAACTCGGTGACGACAAAAAGAGCTTTTACTTCGTGTGCGTCTTAGCGCGAAAAACTGCGACGGTTTGTTCAAAACGCGGTTCGGTTCAAAGCCCTGTTAAAAATTATGAACATTTAATGACATTCTAAACAGGTCTTTGTTTTGCTGCCTTAAAATTACAGGCGAATTTTTAGAGCTCTTTTTATGTGTATTGGTGTTTATTTGAGTGTATGAAGAATGGGTCGGTCCAAAACTCCTTCTCTAGTAGGGTCATATGACTATAGAAATGGTGACTAACTTAGTAATTTATAAAACTTTATTCCTCTCAGAACACTTGGACAAACGCAATGCAAAGTCTTACAAAGCAAAAAGAAAATCACCCAACGTCTAAAAGAAAAACCGTTGCTTCCAAACTCTTGTTATGCTATCTCGAAAACCTTTTCCTTGCTTAAAATCGGATTTAACATTCGGATAGAGTAATAAATTTAACATACTTTAGGAATGATAAATGCTACTTGAAATGGTTTACTGAAATTAAACCTTTCTTCAGTTTTCGAACAACCCAAGACATATCAAAGAGATAATAGCATTACAGCAACAACAACATTTACGCGTATTTTGTTGTTGCTTCTGGTGTTTAATTTATCAAAACAATTTCAACTTTTTTTTTTTTTTAATTACCATAGTGAGCGATGTGAAAAATAAACTAAAAATTGTATAAAAAATTAAAAATTGGTACGGCTTTCTTGCTTTGTAACTTTTTTTCACTCCAGAAGCATCAATACAGGACCCAGTAATCAGCCTTTGAGCTCTTGGGTTAAGCAAACGTTCCAAAGGCTGCTTTCGAACACTTTTTTTTGAAGATTCGCATGCAAATGCCTTTTGCCATTTAAGAATTTTTCTAAAAAAAAATTATTATGTGACAGTTTAGAGACCGAATAATGTGAAAAAAATCAAATCAAGTGCTCTTCTGCTACTACCTATTTAATATGCCTTAGAACAACCAAGAAATATCAACCATTTTTTGGACGACGTAAAAGCAAGCCGACCATGGGATACTTAATATAGATTTTTGTTTTTATTTTCTACACAATATTCAGTCACCGACTGCACTTTATACTGTGTAACGAAAATAAAAGATACGAAAAGAAAAGGCGGGCCTAAAATTCTTCAACAATTTGTTTTATTTTATTTTGTTTACGTCTATACTAGAGTTGGCAAACCATCGATGGTGTTATCGATACCATCCATGGCTTAGGTTTACCAACGATATTTTAGCATATTCCAAAGCAGCATTTAAGTTTTCTTACGAAAAGTTGATTTATACACGAGACTGGGCCCCAGCTACGAAAAAAACAAGCATTTCCAATGCCATCAAACGCTCCACAACTCAGTGGGAAAAGTAATGTATAGTAATCGATAAAATTATCGGTAAAACAGCCGTTTTCACATTCGAAAATGCATTATTTTTTTTGCCCACGTCGACGTAGGAAAAGTGTGGCATTACCAGTAATGCAAAAATGAATGCGATTTAGTATGAAATTTTTGCGACTTTTTGGATACATTAGAATTCTGATTACATATTAAACAGAAATAGAATCTAGACCTCTTTAGAAATACATTACATTATTTATCACGCATGTAATTCATTACCACCTTTCCCACTGGGAAGCATCACTAAATATTTTTAGAATACGAAGTATTGCTCTTCAGCGGTAACATTGAAAACGCTATATTTACATTTGTAGAGCAAAAAATCGCGCATAAAACAAGGACTCGTAAAGTGGATGCCATTCTTGTGCAAAGATAGTACGATGAACGAGAGAGAAAGCTGATCATAGTAATAATCCACTCGATTTTTTAAAGGTAGTCTTTAAAAAAAAATTGTAATAGTTCGTTGCAAATGCCCATTAGCCCGTAGATGTATGTACATAAATACAAGGAGGTATTCGTTTTCTTCCAACAGTTTAAAGTTTGGGCTATAAAAGCTCCAGCCGAACGCGAGTTATAGGAGCTACTGCGACAACCTGCGGTTTAGGCTTCTATATATTGGTTTAGCGTGCCTAAAAATGCACAACCCTAATGCACACTGTTGGCTACCAATTTTATGCATGCAATTTTTTTTGAGAACCGTTATACATAGGAAAAAAGTTACCTAACGTTTTTTGTACAAACTCGCTGACGAACATTTTTTTGTAAAAAATGGAGCCTTAACACGATTTTCGCAAAATCTCGTTTTACCGCTACCTTTGGCAACTCGTAACAGCTCTAGTTGCGATGTAATGTTTAATACCACAAATGAAAGATCGATGCAAAAACCCAGCTTTCTCTTAAGTATTCTGAAGTTTGGCATTTTTTTGTCTTTATTGCCTGAGCTAATATGGGAGTTGGCCAGTTTGGCTTTCAAGACTACTATTAAGAAAAACTTTTATAAAAAATCATATGTTTTCTGCTGTAAGCCCATTTTCTTGCTGAATCCAATTAATTCTTAGAAAAGTTCAAAGATTTAATAGAATATCCCATAAAAGTTATTTTTTTTAATCATACAATATACACCTCGAAAATATCGCTTATACAAAATTTTCAAACAAAACACACATTGACGAATTTTTCGCATCTTCTCGGTTTTGTAAAAAAAAAAAAAGTTTCGGTGCAAATCTTTGCTGTGGCTCTACAAAGCTGACCTTCTGATACGGACCTACCTAAAGCTAAAGTGAAACCTTGTTAACCACATTTATATCTCACTCATAAAGATTTTGTTGAATCGTAAATCATTTAAACAACTTAAGGTATAATTTTTTATAACTTTATTGCGACTTCGAAACATCTTCAGTAAAAATTAGAAAAATATAGTTAGAAAATGGGTTTATATGTAGAACTAGCAACGTTTTCATAACATTTTCGAACTTTTAACGCTCTAAAGGAACTAGTTTTATAACTCGTTTATATGTGCTAAGGAAAACAATTAGGTTTTACTTAAAACAGGAAGCAAAACTCAAATAGCAGATATCTGAATATATATCGGATAAATAGTTCATTTTCTAACTCATAACTCAAAACTCTTTTCAACTCAATTAAACTTAACTAAATTACAAGTCTTACACAATAATCGTATTTGAAAATAGATAACCGATTTCCAAACGTGTATTCGTATTTATTTATATAATTTTTTTTAGTTAGCTAAAGCATATAAGCGATTCTATAAATTTGTATGTTAAGTTAAAGAACTAGGTAAAGTATGTAAGTATGTATGTGAGAAATTTAATAATTTATGTAAGTACGCGCGTATGTATGTATGTAACTATGTATGTATGTATGTATGAGCGGTATTTTGAGATACGGCGGTAAGTTACGAAACGCCTTGTCGAGAGTGAGGTGAGAATTGTGAAATCAGTGGTTGGTTGGTGTTGGCTGTGGAGTTTTTGGGGGTAGCAGATTCATTGGATACGCGATACTTTTCTAGCAATTAATAAGTGTTGCTTACTTTTTATTAATTTTTGAAAATCGACGAATATTTAAAAGGAAAACAAAATGCAAAAAAATTTATTCATTTTGTTTATTAACTATAAAATAAAAACAAAACAAGCAGTTACTGTTTTACGTAATATATTTTGACCTGGATTTCAATTACGAAGGCCGGACGCCTAGATTTATGCAACTTTTTTCGATGTGCAAGAATTGAATAAATTTCGTTGTTTCTTTTTCTTTAACAACTATATGTGTTTAATTACTTTTCGGCGCTTAGAATTTGCGAAATTGTAAAAATGTGGATAGTGTTTGAAACTAAATTTTTGAATTAGTAGGAATTTTTATAATTTTTTTCTTTTTAAATAACGTCACTTCTGGAGATTCGGTGTTCTTCAAAACAAAAACAAAAAAACGATATGTAGAAAAGTAAAAAGCCAACAGTTCTTTTAAATTCATAGTCAAAGCGATAGAAGGAGGGAGATTTAAACAAACAAAAGCAATAATAATAAACGAATTGGTAGTTTAAAAAAGAAAATAAAACAAAACCGACAGGTGACGTAGAAGTAAATGTAAAAGAAGAAATAACGAAATAATCAGCGGCAATTACGTTAAACACATAACGGTACTACACAAGTATGTATTAAAAAGTGAGCATGGGAGATCGCACAAGGAGGGTTGTATTGTGGGCGCGTGAAAATTAAAAAAATAAAGCAGCTATTTCACAGAGACAAGTTAGTTACACGTTTATACAAGTCTAAATGTGGCATTAGCACTCAAACTAATGTTGATGTAAAATTAAGTACAAAAAAGCTTTAAAAAAATACTAAAGTTTCGGTAAAGCTTTT